GGCTGCAGCTTGGGGATGGTTAGGTGGTTGGGAGCAGGATTTGTGTTGGGAGGATAAAGCCATTAGCCTGTTTGGCACAATTGGTTTGTGCAGGGTGATGAAAAAGGATACGTGCAAACAGGATCTGGGAAACCCAGGAGATTGAAGGAGAGCGTCAGAGAGCTGGAGAAGAGTGTAGAACAGGTGATGGGAGGGTTGTAGAGCCAGAGGAGGTAATGGCAGGGCTGAGCCAAGTCTTAGGAAGAGAAGCAGAGAGCAGGAGGGTTGGGGATTGGGGCCAGGGCAAGGCAGCAGGTGGTGGAAGGCTCGGGGTGACATGCAGAGGATGAAAAAGTGCTGGGAGCATGGTGACAGCATGGCAGTGCATACGAGCGAGCTGGAGGAGGCTGGTGCTGCACCCAAGGCATCGCTACCTCTCCCCACTGCAGCCACACACGTGTCCCAGCTGCTTACATTAGAAACGTGACTGGTGCCAATGAAAAGCTCACTTCTGCCCAGGCCTCCATCTGACAGCTCCACTGCCTGGCCAAGGCCTTGCACCTGCCCCACTACCAGGGCCGTAACAGCCTTGCTGATGCTCCCCTTCTGCTGTGACCCAAGAGCGGATTCCTTTTCTGCTTCTCCTCTCCTGAGGTGAGCTGGAGAGAAGGTGGCAGTCAGTGCCCAGGGCCCTTCGGGAGTGGGAATGGCTGAACGAGTTGGAACTAATTGAAAACATGCAAAGAGCAGCAGGATTTACTGCCCGGTCATCTAATCCTGCCGCTCAGGACTGACACGCTTGAAGTCACAGCATGTGACAGAATGACCAAGCAATGAGGACAGGATTACAGAGCCCCAAATGAGATTACGCTCCTTGGTGGGGACACAAGCTGCTAGGAGCAGGGAAAAGATCTGTGTTCAGCACCGAGCAGGGTTATAAGACCAGACATCCAATGCTCTGTCTGCTTAGAGAGCATCAAAAATAGACTCTCCGGAGAGAGAGAAAACACCCAAGCGAGCCAGCTGGGCAGACTCAGGATACTTGGGACACTGACAGCTCCTCAGCCCGTAAAATGAACTGGCACAGGTTTCTGCCAGTGTTAGCACAACTGTGGCTTCAAAACAAAACAGAGCAGGGCAAGGGAGCAGGAGGAAGGGGAGGGAGACAAGCCTGCAGCTGGCTAACTAAAACTGTAGGCTGTTTAAGACAGAAAGGGGAAAGGTCCAAGGGATCAGAGATAAGGAAGGTGTGGCTGTGCACAGCTCGCAGCATCTTAGCTTGTGGTAAATATATAAATAGCAGGCTGGCACACACAAAGGGTAATCAGAGAGCCAGCCACATTGTGCTGCACATGGACAAAAAGAATGAAGAGATGGGCCTTGCCCAGAGATTTTATCACCAAAGACAAAAGATCATGATGGATCCTGTGGGAGCACAAGAAGATCAGTCACCACAGCTCAGAGAGAGAGGAGAGGACAGTGGGACACGTCTCGAAGTACAGGAGCCTTTAGATTTAAGCTCATTTACTGAAGACAGATCTGTACAGAATACACTTCCAGCCCAGCAGCCCACTGTGTATTTGCCACCAGAAGATGCTGACCTGCAAAGTCTGAATTTCTGAATACAAAACCATGTTTTCCTCCCCTATTAATCCAAGTGAAGCAGGAAATTAGACAGATCTGCACAGCCACTTGCTGGTAAAAGCCACATGTTCCATGGGAGCTGCAGGAGCTCAGTGCTTCTGAACGTATGGTTATCTTTACAGGTTCCAATTTTAACACGATCCACTAAAGGCTGAAACCCAATGAACCTGTTCAGGGGTCCCTTTCCCATCTACGCTCAACACTTCTTTATCACAGGCTAGCTGGATACCCTTAAACCTTGGCATTGGGAAAGCCAGGATAAGCCTCAGAAGTAGAGTTCTCTTTCCTCCCTCTCTGGAAACTTCCCCCTAAGGACAGCACTACAGTCTTGTCTGGCATCTGTCAGCTTGAAGTGTTTTCCAGATAATTAGTCCTTTAAACTTCTCTCATGCAGGACAATCTAGCTCTGTTGTACCTCCTTCTCAAGTGAGCAAGTAAGGGTGCTGACATATATTTAACAGCAGCTGAAAACCAGGGCAACAGAAGCTGTTGCCACCCATATCTGCTTGTGTCGCTCATCTCTTGGAAATGGCTCCCTCCACAGCAGGGACAGCTAAATGAGATATGTCCACACCCGACCCCATCACACTTCACATCCTGAATACCTGAGGAGCCCCAGCTCAGCACTTCTGTACTGCCACACATCAGGCTGTAAATCACAGCTGTTCAATCCTCCCTGGCTGAAAGACTGCAAATTCAGTCTGAGAAGGGCAGAGACAGAAGCTGCTTCAACCATTCCTGACACCACGGAAGAATGCAAATGTATTCAGGGCATGGTCCCATGAGCAGCAGAGCTAATCTGCCTGCTTCCCATGGCCAGGAAGGGATGGTCTTGCTTTCCTTCCCTCCACCCATACTCCTCACAATGCAGTTCCGTCTCTTCCCTTGTGCTGGCTCAGGCACTCCAGACACATTTGTGGGCTCGAAAACCAGTATTCTCTTTCTTTATTTTTCTGGATTAGCTTTGTGATAGTTTAGAGATAACCTGAGGAGGTCCATAGAGCTGGTGCACAGTAACCCACTGGGAGCAAGAGCATTACCCCATTTGGGAGGAGAAGAGCTGTCACATCAGCTCACCCTGTCTCTTGGATCTGGACCCTGAGGCACACAGAAGCAAGCAACTTGCTGGAAGCCACAAGACAAAGTGCTGAAGGAAGCCAGGAGTTCTATTTTTCCTCACATATTCAGAGTAATTTAAATGTCAAGGTGGAAACAAAAACATGAACAGTCCTTGCTTTGTTATAAAAATCAGTCAATCAATCAATCAATCCATCCAATAACAACGTCTCAATCTTATCAATAGATCATATCCACCTTCCCAAAGTACCATGCAGGAAAGACTCTTCTGGTTCATTTACAGGTTGCAATATATTGACTGTTTTCTCTCAAGTTAGGCTGGCAGATGTGCCATACAACAATACCACACAAGGCACAGAGTTGCTTTCTTCCAGCACTGAATGGGGGGCTTCATTAACCCATGCAAAACAACGGCTTCCTTGTACCCTGCAGACTCTTCTCCCTTCTACCCAGCTTCCCACTGCCACTGGAACCACATTTCAAGGCAGCGAGATTCCTAAGAAAAAAACACCAGAAAAGCAGCATAGGGGGAAGAAAAACTGCGGTGCTGACTGCACATTCAGGTTGAAGAGCTGGTGAAGACACTATTGCAGTCCCAAGGTGAACAAGTTGGCACTGCAGGTCTGGGCTACTGTTGAATTTTTCCTATTCAGCAGCTACTCAAACACAAGTCAGAGTTTCTTCGGTATTCACACATAGTTTCTCACTCTGTCCTAAAAAGTGCTCTAATACAGAGAGTCAGCAACACCTTGTAGGACAGAGCTCAGAGCAAAGGCAGTGCTGCAAAACAGGCTTTCCCAGAGCCTATTCATGTCCATGGTGCAACTTCTTCAGGCTTACACAGCAGCAGTAGAAGTGCTGAAGGTTACAGAGGCATCTCACAAATGTTTTGTTGGGCATATAACACACACAGCTTTGCCTTAGCTCCACGTTTATCCCAGGTTTCAGTCCAGGTTTGGATTAGCCAGAAGTCCCTGGGTTAGCAGAGCCCCTCCACTGAAAAGCAACAGGCTTTGGAAAGCCAGGACTGACAGCCACAGTCTGCACAACGCTTGGCAGGGAAAAAGAAGGCAATTTTTGGCTTTTCTTTGGAAGAGGATATAGATTTTGCATATCCTTGTGATCTTACACGTGCATGGCACATCCCAGGGGCCCCTCACTTCTCTAATACCTTGCATTCAACGTGCTTTATAGACTTCATGGTATTTGGACTCCTAAGGATGGTATATGCACTTTTACAGAAGGTAAGGCCAAGACATACTAAAATGATGTGCCTGAGGTCATAAAAGCCTTTGACAGAGGAAAATAATTTCCTTCAACTCCCACTCCCACATTTTTCCTAATACGAGTACCCGCCTTGCCCATACGTTTCTACCACCCTTTTGCAAGAGGCATTGTATCTGACTGCATGAAAGCCACGTCTTTTATACAAGTCTTGCCCCAAAAATACAAGGGTACAGCCACTGTGCACATCTGCCTTAAGTCATGACAATCCATGGCCAGCAAGTAGGACCACAAAATGCAGTTATGAAGTTCTTGCAGCTTTTATGCAAGCAAAGAACAGAGATAACAGCTATGTTCTGGTTCTGGCTCTAAGCCAGGGACAGAGCACAGGATACACCTGCTCAGATGAGACCACTCATCCAGCGTCTGCTCGCTTTCCAAAAGCAACTAATGCCACTTCCCATTCACTCTTACATAAAGAAGTCTCCAGAGAATTATACACCAGGTATCTTTTGCGTAAGCCTTGCAGACGAACTTTTAGCCATCACGAACTTCAGATCACATCTGCTTTCTGTCAGTACCCAAATTATAGGTCACTAGATCATCCAGGCTTCTCAACAAATCAGCATAACAACTGACAAACTGGGGTGTAGATGGTCTTTTTCTTCACCACAGAACGTGCTGACCAAAATAAATATTTCCCTGCCAGGGTGTTAACTGTGTTCACCTAACGTCAGTATCTTTCATGGAAGCATGCTCCTATTTTGACAGTGAAAATGAAAAGCACAAGCTGTGATCAACAGCATTGCTAACACTATCACCTGGGTACTGATGGAAAATACAAAACTCAGAGGCCTGAGGCAGACCCTAGTCTTAATCCTTCATTTCCAACCTCCTAAAGGTTCGCTAGGCACCACGCGTACTGTCTTCATCCCAAGAGGCACCTGCATGGCTGGTGAATGGGAGATTGGAAGGCATGGTCAAACTCAGTGAGAGAATCCCTAACCCCACCATCTCTCCCCCTCCACACGATGGCTGAAGTTGGCGATGGATGCAGATGAGATGCTAATGACCACACGGCTGCTGTGGCCGCGACGTTCAGGCCCCGCTTCCCAAAGTGCACAAGGGCATCGTAGCTCCGGTCTTTTGCCTGGACGAGGCAGTCATCGATCTCCTGTCACAGCAGACAACAAAACAAACAAACAAAAAAAGCACAAGAAGGACAAGTTCAGGGTGCTCCCAGCCTCAAACTCTTGGTGGGGCCAGGTCGTCTTTTATGGAGGCAGACATCCTCCATTTCCTCCACCTTGGCTGCAGAGAAGTTCACAGCCAACATTTCCAAAGAGGAAAGGTTTGCAGGGGAGCAGTAACTCCCACTGCACAGGCTTTGGGAACTCCTTATTCTGCAAATGGAAGATTGGGACCCAAAATTGGGATATACTTACACAGTGCAACCAGCACCAATAGGTCCTGGAAGCAAGCTAGACACATCCACCCAGGCAGAACAGACCAGGGCGTGTCAGGAGGCATTTGCAATCTATGGACTCTAAGGACTAATCGGATTGCCCCAGAGTTAAAAAGAATCATATTACGACACTGGGCAGCTGCAGCTGTACTGCCCTGGTCCAGGACTGGTGGTCTCAGAAGTATCTGAGATATCTCTGCACATCACATTTGACAGTTGGACTTGATGATCTTAGAAGTCTTTTCCAACCTTAATGATTCTATGATTCTATGATCACTGCAGCATCCGGCTTCAACATGCCCATGGAACTGGTAGGTCCAGAGCTTCTGGACTTTGATGCTGCTCAATATACAATGAATTCATTACAAAAGTTCCTGCTCTCACCCTCCCTCCCTCCCGACACAGGAGCCTGCATGATAATGGACAACAATGACTTCCAGTGCTCAGCTATTGGATGTGCTGGGTTAGTAGGGACTGGAGGCTGCAAGAAGCTGCTGGCTGTTTAGTGGTTCCCTGCCTATTTCTAGCAGATAAGAGCTGGCAACCCAAAATGCATGAGCGCTACTTGTGAGAAGCGTAAGCAGAAGTTCCCAGGAAGCAGAGAGACAGGGGACTGATCCCCACTGTCCTTCTTGGGTAGGACCGAGATACAACTCTTCATGCACTGCCTGTGGCTAAACAGATCTTTCACTTCCATAGTTGCCAATGTGGGAAGCAGTTCTTCACTTCTTAGTAGTTTGCATGTTGATACATGACTGATAGCTATTCTTAGCCCATGTATCCACATGAGCCAAATGGATCTGCCTGACAATGTCCCATTCACAGCCACAGGAATCTCCTAGGCAGGCAAATGATCCAAACTGTAACGTCCCCCTCCCCAAAATCAGCACCATGAATCTGAGCGAGACATTTCTCAACCCAGGACCTCAACATGCTACAAGCCTTACTTCAGCATGCTGTATGTCTCTCAGCCAGGCCAGTGCTTGCTAAGCCCCTTTCAGACAGGCTTGGCTATTTGTCTCATTGCTGCACCATGTTTTAGGCAGAGCTGGGAACAAAGTTAAGGAGCCCTGGCTGCCAGACCCTGTTTCTCCAAGTGTTATATCCAGCCACAACACAGCACTCCAGCTATATTCAGCCATTATGTGCAAAGCAGCTCAAAAGGTATTTTTATCCCCTTCCCTCCTAACTTCTCAAGTGCACAAAGATGAGTTAATATGTGTGAGTGTGCTGAACAGATGCCAGTATTTAAAAACACAACAACCACAAAGAACAAAAACACCAACCAAAAGGAGATGATCAAATGACAGAGGAAGAGAATCAGCAACTCCCAGCCCTTCAATGAAAATGAGTGATACGAAGACTGGAGTAAACACATTGCAGATCTGCTCCACCCAGAGAGGACCTGGGCACCTGTGATTACCTTTTCTTTTGAAGACAGTGTTGGATGAACAAATTTCCTGTACAGGAGGCTGGAGCCTTTTGTGTACGGAGACAGCAGCCAAGCTACAAAAGCTATTTTCAGTTCATAGTAGAATGGAAACCTAGAAGAAAGAGAGTTGTTAATGTCCATTCCTAATTTAACCACTGCCCTTAATGAGAAATGCTCAGCACAGGAAGGGATTGGCCAGTCTAGCCTAGACCAGCTTTTGCTTACCAAAGAATCCAAAGAGAAAGAACCACTCACCCTTGCACACATCTCAACTAGGCATGTGGGTAAATCTTTACTTGGGTGTGAGGGCCATTATTTAATGGTGTGGATGTGACTCTGCTGTGTGATGAGAGGAGCTTTCTACACGCAAAGAGCACAGATGCTGCCTTCATAGCATCCCCAGTAGTTATGAGGGAGCAAAGAGCACACCAGCAAATCAGTATTTCATCAATATATTTATGCACTTTTCATGTCTCTGCCTTTCTGCTTGTAAGATAACGCTTATCTGACTGAAACTGAAATACAAGAACCTTTGCTGTCCAAGCAACACGCAACATAAAGGTGCAGATCCACGCTGCAGCCTTCAGGTAGCACTGCAAAACATGACACTGACTAACAACAGGACATGCTTTAGCTGTAACACCAGGCTAGGGACTTCTTGAGATTAGATTATCTGGACAGCACTGCACTGTCACTGAGCCAGCTGGGCCATACAGCATCCAGGTCCGACCCGATGGGCCTCTGCAGTGCTCTGCTCTGAGCATGGATTTGCCAGGTTGTTCTTCCACCTCACTGAGGATCTCTACAGCGTACTTGATTTCACAGGCTGGACAAGCCCTCTGTCATTCCTCCCAAGAGACCCACATAACCCATCCTCCAAAAAAACAAAGTTCCACATGAACACAGCAGAGGTAGATCCGCATGCAAATTAGACAGAGAGACAATAACATCTTTTATCTCCTTTTCAACAGATCTGACATGTTGCCATGTACCCCTGATTCCCTTGGTCTGGAGGACTCACTAGAGGCATACAGTACTACACAGGAACCAGCTTCAGGTGAAGGCCATGCACCACAGTTAGTAAGTCTACAGATCTCACTGGCTTCCACCAGAAAGGCCTTACTAAAAAGGGAAACCAAGCAACAAACATTTCCCAACTCAAGCATCAAAATTTCAGGAACCAAACCCGATAATTGGGCATTTCTGTGCTCTCATCCTGACAGAGGTCACCAGGAATCCTTCCACTGGCACCAGACAGCCCCCATCAGTATGGACTGTCACTGTCCTCCACCAAACCGTAAACCCAGCCTAATCAGCAACGCACCCACGCAGCAACCTACAAACTAAGTCCTGCGCTGCAGGGCTGTTTCTGCCTGATGCCTAGAGTCCGTGTACTTACTGTAGGACACAGCTAGGTAAGACTAGAACCATGCCTGTAGCTAAAGCTACTGTTGTTCACGTGATGATCTCTGTAAGCATCCAACTCGGCAATCAGCTGCACCTCCCTCTGACAGGCAGGGGACTGAGACTCCGCTAATGATTTCCCACTAATGAGATATCACTGAGCACTTCCATCCTCTTTCTTGCTTTTCCTGTGACAGCACTGAGAAAGGAAGCATGGCTCCTCCAGACAAAACACCTTTATGCACCTGAAGCTGCCAACCCCGGGTTCATGAGCCAGTGCTCCTTTGTGCCTCTTTTTCCCCCTTGTAAACATTTCCATTTTCTTTCCACTTCATGCCAAAGACCCTCCCCCATCTGGTGCTCACCAGCAAAGAAAGAGATCCGTGAACGTCTCTGCTGTCGTGAAGAGTGCAAATATGATCCAGTACATCATCCATTTGACCTGGTAAACAAAAGGATGAAGGTGGCAATGAATCTGGATCTCACCAGCTCCAAAACAGCTTGCTCCATCTTTTCCCCGCTGCAGTGGGGACAGTACCTGCAGTCTCTCTTCACCTCCCTGCAGGTACTGAAATTATTTCCTGAGCACCTGTCCCCCAGCTATATAACTGCTCCCCTGGGATTTATGTGTATATTTACTGTTACAGCAGTAGAAGGCACTGCCAAATGCCTGGGAGCATTGTCTTTCCAGGGCAGCTTCTGCCAGCCTTGTTACAGAACAGCAACTCCCTCGGAGTCTCACTGCCAGCACGGTTCTCTCAGTCAGATGTTACTGCCAGCAAAACTTTTAAACACAAACCAAGACCTGGTGTGGACAGGCTTGGATCAGCCTAAAACATCATTTATCGAAATGACTATTACCAAGCAGAAGAAAAATAAACTACATCGATATAACTTTTGACTAGTAAATAATGTACTGTGTCAGTGTAAATTATTACTTTTTTTTTCTATTTTTTTAATCAGACCCCGAACAGACATATTGCCACCACTGGCGTGTTAAGCTAAAAAACAATTTTAAGTGCAGACCAGGTTTTAGATCCGCTGTTCCCACATTTGGGTCATGACCCCATGCGTCTGATGTGAGTTCCTCTTTTGCAGTTGAATTTCCAACAGGAATTGGATCTTTCAACAAAGTATTTTCCAGAAAAGGACTATGGAAATGTTAAGTTTCAGTGGCAGACACTGCTTGGGGGTGCTAGCGCACGTCTTCAGCATTTCCAAGCAAAGGGTGTGCAAACCTTCAGACGCACAGCTATGCAAGGGCTGCAGGGGCATTTTGCCTTAAGCATTTGATGTGTTCTGTAACACTTACTATTCTCAAAATATCCAAAACCATTATCTGAAGGAGGGGACTGACAGAAAGGAAAAAATCTCAGCAGCCACAGTGAGTCCCAGTTTGAGTTTGCACTAAGAACTTAATGGGATAGCCATCTACACTGTTACCTAGAGGAGAAAATGGGCTTGTTATCCCTGGGATCTTGAGAGGATTGAAGAGTGGAGATCTGGAGGCCGAGTCAGGTGCAGTGAAGTTAACAGAGCTCAGGTTATGAAGTGCACTACAAATCCTACAGGACCCCAACAGCATCCGAGTGGTTTTGATTGTCCCACACTTGACTTTCCCCGATGGCCCCATATGCCTTTAGAAACTGGGGCCAAGGGAAGATTTTTCAGCTAAAGGACAAGACAGCACACCCAGTAGCCAGACCTGCCTGTAAATAGGTCACTACAAGGAAGGATGTTTCTATCTGAAGATTCAGTCGTATGTGCTTCGAGTTGCCTCCTCTGATCCTTGTTTTGAATGAGCAGCTAAAGCTTCAAGGCTTTTTGAAAAGGCTTTGATTTATGCTGCTCTTCAGAAACAAAGGAAAACACTTCAAGCTCTGGATGCCAAGCACCTTTTATGTCCGCCGTACATAGCTGCACCACCAGAGAAATAGCATACATTTTTCAAGGAGCACATCAACTCTGCAGAGGAGCCAGAAGCACAAACCCGAGTCTCCTTATTTGAGACGTGCCTAGCAATCAGCCATCCCACCTTCAGGCCAGTCTTCCTTCCCCTTGCACTGGTTTATGAGCTTTCCCAGAATACAGGCAACACCTTTACAATGCGGCGAGGAGCAATCTTAGAAAACAAGCCCCGCAGCACAGCCACAAACCTCATTACTCACATATTCTTTGATGTCCTTTGATTTCACAGCTTTGTAAGAATAATACGCAGGGTAAAGAGTGCCAAATATAAGCCTGAAAACAAACAAACAACAAATGGATTAAATTGATTTCCTGTCACAGAGAAAGACTTTTTCCCCCCCGTCTGTCAAATGTGTTTCTTGCACTATCAAAAACTGTTAGGATTTGATTTAAGCTTGAGTGCACTAAGTACAGCACAGGAACGATTTTGCATCACTGAATTCAGAGAAACTGTTGCCAGTGACATGAGTGAAGAGCAGGGATTCAGGTTCACTTTGCTTTTGCAATGGTTTCCATAGCTGTACCTTATGAGTTACATTATGTTTCATGTGTAACAAAAACACAGGCCACCATGTTTTTAAAAGGAAATTAAAAATCTGATTTTAAAATAATCTACTGTGACATCAGGAATATAGGAGCATTGCTTTCAGAGGCAGAACAAAGTGCGAATCATTTGCCTGAAATCCCTTCCACCTCTATTTAATACTCTGAAAAGCTGGCAGAGGATAAAGCAGCATCCAGGTTCTACTGGTGCAAGTGTTTGAATGCTGGGGCCTTTTCCTACATTAAATCTGCTAAAGCGAAGAGCCCTGCGCTGTTTGGTATAGTCCATTTAGGCCCATCAAAGGAGGAGGAATCTGCCCACCAAGATATGTCAACAGGATCAGGCCTAAAAATCCCAGCTTTGTTGTTCTTTCAGACAGTTTCCCTTCATTTTCAAGTCTGAAAGCTATGCTGTCAGCTTCAAGATTTCATGTAAGAAAGAAACGAGGATCCATAAGTTAAAAATAGCACTACTGAGAAAAAACGTTGAGAATTTTTCATACTAAATCCTCTCTGCATCACTGCCTAGCTGTGCTTATTCACTTCGATGATTCTGGACATAGGCATTGGCTTGTCAAAACCACTTTGCCCTGCCCAGGTTTCAGTCAGTTTTATTCAATGCAGTAGGATGATGCTGCAAAGTCTGAATTTAATAGATTGCAGGGGAATATTTATTGGCTTGCAACCACCCCTCTTTCCACTGGAGTTTTCGCTTTGAATTCGTACAGCTGTTTCCGCTGCTCTTGGGAATGGAAATGATCAATGTTTCAATGCCTAATTGTGGAGCCACATGGACCCGCAGTTGTCTTTTCCATCCTGCCAGTAGCAATTGTGTGCTGTGGGACTCATAATTACAGTTGAGTCCATTACGTGCAGAAGACATTAAAAATTAACACTCTGGGATATGGTGTACCATCGTACTTCCCGTAGCTCAAGAAGGTATTTGTGAAAGAATGGGATGAGCCAGCACACATCTTGATTTCCAAAGCAGTGACTGAATACATTTTGTCTGCTATTCATCATGCTTACTGTAGCATAGCTTAGCAAAACCTGAAGCACAATGCAGACTTCAGAAAAGCAGCTCCTGAGTGAGGAGATTCGGTGTTTTACAGAGGCTTCACACTAGTTTCAAAAGGCTTTGCTGGAAACAGTCAGCTCTCAACCTATTTCACCCATGGGGGCTGTGCTATATGCAGGGATTAGATATAAATGCTCAGAAAGATTCTGGGAAACCAAACGCATTTTTGTCCCTTGCAGTATCTTAACAAACAGCAACACTGGTTAAGGCAGGGAAGAACACACAGACAATAGCTTGATCCTGTTCTCACTGAAGCTAATAACAAATATTCCCTCTGAGTTCAATGCTAGCAGGACCTAATCCAAAGAAGTCTGAGCTCACAAAAGGAAGAAAGCTCCACAATATTCAGAAACTAACAGCCAAGCACATGAATAACGTTTTTGGCTCCAGTTATAAAAAGTACCGCATTTCTGTCCTTCCTTCTTGGCCTGGGCTGGCTGCTATCTCACGCTTTTATTTCCTGCAGACAATCACTGAATGATTGATACTTGTTTCCTCAGTTTGTGCTAGTAAGAAAAAGTAACTGGATCTTCAAGAAGCAGACATATTACAGGATCACCAGAAAATAAGTAGCTGCAGACAATAAACACTTGAAAAAAAATTCCTGTGAGGGAAGGAAACTGTGCAATACTTTTGCATATGCAGAGCAAGAGACAGTTAATAAGGTGATGTGCTCTCCCTAAACTGCAGATTGAGAGCTTCACTGATTTGCCTTGAAGCGCATTGTGTGCATATATGGACATTTCTAACTGCTACGGTTTATCCGACCAAAAACTGTTTTAAGGAATGTTGGATCTCAGTCTTGTCATTGCTGTAGCTTACTATGTGGCTTGGAGTCACTTAACTTCTGGGTACACCCTACAAACAGAAGATAAAAGCATTTCTGTAAAGCATATTTAGGGTTTTGGAGACAAATACTGCACATTGACATACTCCAGTCTTCACTGGGGTTTGGATCAGGCTTGAATATAATTAATTTAATTCAAACATACACATCAGTCCTCTATCCCTTCCCTTAGTTCCTCTCCCCTGCTAAAGACACTACTTCTCTCTTCCCCCTCATCCATGCTTCACGTGTAATTAAAGTTATTGTTGACTCCTGCCTTCCTTCATCCCCGTGCTCAGATTGTTGCCAAATCACTTCTCCTGCACACTATACACAAAACCACGGCTGATTCTTCGTCCCCTTGGCCAAGCCACCAAGTCATTCCCCGTCAAAGCCTCCTATCCAGCCTCCCTTGTGTGCTTTACTGATCTCTAACCCACCTGGATGCATCAGTGTTTAAACCTCTTCCCTCTGCCCCTCACACACACACGCCCAGAGAGGCTGCCCTTGCCTACCAAACTGAAGTAACATTATTACACTTGCCTTCCAGAAAAATGCTGCTCCTAACTACTGTTGGTGTGGTCTTTTCCCACATCCCACCTCATTCCCGTCTCTCCTTTGCTGACTGTAGTGCCACCAGCTGCTTACTCTGCTGTTCCTTGTATGTCTTCTCCCACACCCTGGAGCTCCTCTGCTCCTTGCTCTTCCATTGCATATCAGCCCATTGCCTCTACATCAAGCTGTTCCCTGACAGTTATCCTGACAGCCCACAGTTTGAGGGGCAGCAGCCAAAACTACACAAATTCCAACCATGCCATTCCCTGGTTTCTCCTCACTTTTATAATCTTCTTCTGCAACACTCCAGTTCTACCTGATGTTCTCTGAACCACACCACAGGAACTTCAGCTTTCCTCTGCATATCCTCAGAATTGCAGCACAGACCCTCAGTTCCCTCCCACAGCTGCCAGCTGAACTGGGAACACACGTGCTGTGACTCCTTCCGTGGCACACGCATTGACTGCCTGGCTAGTGCCTGCCAGCTGCCAAGTCAAATTAACAACCTACCTATGGAGTTAACACAGCAGCTTTTACATCTCCCGGCAGATGCTGCTATGAGACATCTCCCACCCAGCAGCTAATTCTTATGAATAATGTAGAAACTTTGTATTTGAGACCTCTCTGACCCATCTATTTTGGCCTCAATCACTTTGCGGATCCAAAGCTAGCAGCAGTGGAAAAACAGACTGCTTAAGCCTCATTTCCTTAGGAAACCAAGCTACAAATACAGAGTCAACCCACTCCCCACCCATTTCCATCTTTCAAAGCTCCTTTGAATGAGCTATGTACCCTGGAAAGCCTTGGCTCTTTCACCCTCTGTGCAAAAGCAGAAGCAGACATCCTGATCAGCAAACCAGGGACTCTCAGAGCTTGATGTAGTAGTTGCTACGTTTAAAGCTACAGAGGTGAGTTCCTACAGTCTGGGCTAAAACAAACACACACCCTCAGGGTATAGGGAAAGGCAAGGATGCAGTGACTTTCATCAGCCAGGTAGGAGAAGCTCACTTACAGCACTAAACAAATAACCACAATAATCTAACAGTTCGTACACTGCTCCATGCTGGAGGTCTACATCAATGACAATCACCTTGAAAAAGGGCAAAACAGCATCTGTAAAGAAATCACTGAAGAGTCAACTAATTGTGCAACAGGAGGCAACAATCTAAATAAAAGGTTAGTCTTCCTAAAGAACAGGATAAGGATTAATGCTGAAAATCTTCTAATCCTATTAGGCACATCAGTAGCAGCAATCCCCAATCTGGACCGCTGCGCGCGCTTCTGGCCTCTCTTTGTCAAGAGGGACACGGCGGAGGCAGAAGTGGAAAGGAGAAGGGCAGCAAGTGTGTGTGGAAGCGCGCCGGGGAAGATCTGTAAGAGCAGCTGTAAACGCTGCAATTGTTTCATTTGCAGTAAAGATAAATAACTGAGGTTATTTGTTCCTACTCCTGATGCAGTGTAAGGGGATGTTCAACTGAATCAAGAGAACAAAGTCAAAAAGGAGGGGAAAAACCCTCTCTATCACTAAGAGTTAATCTGTGGCACTGAATAACTGTATTTATTTACAATTATATTACATAGAATTTGGGGTTTCGTGTTCCTTACTCAAGCACACCACTAAACGAGACAGGAAAGGATGAAGCTTCCCATATCGTGGGGTTTCCTGATTATGAGGGGAAGATTAAAGCAATTGAACGGTTAGCTCCTCTTTAGCAATCTCTGTCATATTCCAGGGGAGCAGCTGCACCATCGCCAAACCTCCTTCTGTCTCCACTTACCAGAACAGCCACAGCCAGCCCTGGCTATCATATCTTTCTACTCCTCTGAATCTGCTAGCACAGTGATCTGACCATCACAGAGCACCGGCTAACCCAGATGTGACAGTCTCCCTTATAGCACCAAGATTACAGCCTGGGGATCAGCATCAGAGCTGGTACCAGGAACGGGGAGGGCCCCACATGACATCTTGAGTTCCGATGATTTGGTGATGCTGTTTTCCTCATGAGGGGCCTGGTCGAACAGCCATTTACCTGTAAAACTAACTCTCCCATTCAGTACAGCAGCCACTGAAATAAGCGGAAAGACTCTCAGCGATGCTCAGAAGTACTGGCCAGGACTCAGGTTACCTCCAGAAATGCCTGCATATCCATTCTCTTGAGTATTTTTAACCACACAGGTATTTTCTGGATGGTAATCTACTGTTACCAGCACACCAGCACAGTGTCGTCCACCTCCCAAGCTGTCCAAGTTTTGCTCATCTAGTTACCAAGCCACCAGTGGTGTTTGGGCTGCCCAAACATTCAGAACATTGTACTACTGCAACACAAATAGAACAGTCCTTATTTTGCCCATAAATAACTAATGTTCCCATATCATCAGCACACAGCAGCCAAGATGGCAAACGCCTGCTCAAACACAGGGATGGACACATTTAGGAATCAGTGAAATATTTCCCATTTCCTCAATATGTTCACTGGGTAGTGCGTGCTTTGTACCCACGGAGCAGCAGCTGAGCTGTCACCATGCCAACATTCCTCTCTGAAACCGCCAAGAAGGGTGCCAATAGGTTTGCATTCCTTATTATCAGTCCTAATTAATGCTCACGCAGTGCCACATATTAAAAATAAACGGCACTGTCTTTGCATCAAAGGTTTAAATCCAACAGCTGTGGAAGTGAAAATAAGCAGCGCACAAGGTCAGGGAAAGGGTTAACACAAGCCCCTTGACAAGGCCAAATGCCTGATATTCAAGAAGGGACTGGGGTGGAACAAGCACCAGCTGCAGATGAGGTGGTTCCAGGATGACATTCCCTGGGAGATGGCTCCTGCAGATTCTTTGTGGTCATTTTGAAGCAGAATAGGTCCTGCAGAGTGCTGACGCCATCCCCACCCTGGGCCCCAGGAGATGTGGATACACACCAAGAACACCAAAGGCACACAGTGCCTCAGTGACCAAAAGATCGCCTGAGGAAAGCGCTGGGCCCTGACACCCCCGAGGCAGATCAGGCTCGCTTCAAACTCCGTTTGCACCTCGAATCAAACATCCTAGCCAGGCTGGTTCAGCACTGCCCAGGACAGCTGTGCCCACGTCACTTGCCCAGTCATGCAGCACCTTCACAGGTATTAATAAGGTGTAAAGTTCAGCCAGGACATCCTGCTGAGCTCTGGCTGCTGAGACCTTGTCCTCATCAGCACTTCTGAAGCATCTTGCACACTCACAGCACTGAGGAAACAGAGGGCAGGTCCAGGAGAACTCGGTGTCTAGCACAAAGACGCTCTGCTTTCCATCCAGATCCACCTTGGACTTCTCAGCCAGGCTACTACAGAAGCAAACTGCAAACTTCGTCTTGGTTAATGTAACCTAATGGCTGGTGAAACCTAATCTCTTCTCTTGGTGTAACTGCGGGGTAAAGGGACACCCAACTGCCCTTCCAGCAGAAATAACAGGAGCAAGGGCCATCCTTGATGCTTCTAATTTAAGCAGTCTTGATCCTCCCAAAGAAGCACATACTCCTCTCCAGTTGACATCACCTTTTTTTTTTTTCCTGCCTCAGCCAGGGTACCCAGGAGCTGGAAGACAGCCAGGCACAAGCAGGTGAAGAAAAAAGGGAGACGGGTGGAGGAAGCCGTCTTGGCCAGCCTGGAGCTATCACACAACTGTTAGGTTTACTCACGCTGAGATACTACATCCAGACTTGTCTAAAGGTGGCAAACATCATTTCCTTTTCCGCAGTTCTTGTTATAGACAGACAATAGAAATGCTAAAATAATGATATTACTGATGGAGAAACCTTAGAAAAATATTGGGATTATCAAGATAACGCACCTGATGTCTACTAAAACCTGATGTTCCTACTAAAATCACCAGCAGTAAAGGTTCTCCCAGGGCTGATACTGACACTGACAACTCTGAGTATCATAATTCAAGCCCAGACAAGATAAAGCAGGTACTTCACCCTTGCTGGGCTTATTGTTCCGGGCTGTTTTCAAACAGAAAATGCAGAATCGCATCAGTTAACACACAAGCTAACCCTAGGAAGTTTTCTTTACAGTCCTTCAGAACAGAAAAGGCCTGTGTATCTGCTATAAAAATACCCCATGGCTCTGCAGGTATTTTAGGAAACAAATTTATTGCAGGTAGGTGGCTTACTAAGCTGTCGTACTTCACGCTTTGTTCAGTGGAGCTGGGCTGCTGATGAGCAAGGGGAATTTGTTTGCTCCCAAGGCAATGCTTTACAGGAAGGGTCTGCGTGGAGGGCGTGTAGGGCTGGTGTGGGCCCCGACCCATCAGTGAGAAGCTGCGGGTTGATAGGAACGCTGTGCCTGGCACACCCCACGAGGCTCCAAGCAGCTGCCTGCAAGAGATAGTGTTTCGTGGGCCTGGTTGGAGGCATCTGCCCTGTCGCTGCTCCTCCCCGCTCCATGCTTCGCCTCAGCAGGGCTGCTGGAGAAAGCAGCCCACGGCACTGAGCTTTCTCCCGGCGCTGACACAGCCCACCGCTTCAGTCAGACCTTTTCAGGGGAGACGAAATAATTCATCAAAGTGTGATACTAAGGGGAATAAAATCTGTGCCTTGTAGAGAAGAAAACATTCTCTGCTATGTGACCGGGTCGGATCTTCACCCAGCTTCACTGCTCCAAAAAGGCAGGGCTTAGCATCTGTGTGCCCTGATGTTTTCCCTATCCAGTACCAACCGTATCGTTCCTGCTTTGAGAGCCGGGTCTTTCTCCAAGCCAGATAAATGGCAATTTGAACACTAAATGGTATGTTTTAAATGGGAAGGGCTGCTTTTCCTGACTCCATAGAGGAGGTTGTTTACATGGAAAAAGGCTTTTTTAGAAGCACTGACATTATATTCCAGAGATGACAGATGGTTTAAAAATCTGTATTGTGAGTTAGCTTACAGATTTTGGTAGGCTCATGACACGAAAAGGAACAAAAAGAGACATATAACCTAACCAAGCTAATTTCTAGGCTAAAAAAGATATAAAAAAATGGATTGCATATCAACAAAGAAGTTCTGCATTATTTTTGTGTAAAGCCACAAAGATCATGCTGCAAGTATTATTTTGGAGTTATTTTAACTGATGCTATGTGAATCAACTTTTAGGAAGCATAAACACATAAAGGAGTCCCCATTTAGAGCATAATCCTACTCTCCGTGTATCCTAACACTCAGCTCAGGTCATGGAAGTCTTTCAACCACCAAAGCATAAGTGCTACCACTGGCTGAGGAGATGGTAAGAAACACAAAAGCTCCTTTTTGCCTGCTTCTCACTGAAAGACAGCTTTAGACTTCTAGTGTTGTACTCATGGGACAGAACACAGGAATAAAAAAATTAAATGAAAGTATAACTCGTCCAATTCATTTGCAACACAAGATCTCCTTAGAGTAACGTTACTTCAGCTTCCCAGGGACAGAATATTACTAGAAGTGCTCAACTAAGTGCAAGGAATATTCTAGCTAACTGATATAATTTAAAAAACCAAACCAATGGCCTCTTTGGCCCAAATATTCAGCTAAAGCCATGAAAAATGTTGACTTCCCACAGAATCACTATCATTCCTGGTTTCCTGATGGTTCAATCCACTGTCACAAATCGAGCAGTCCCAAGGCTGCTCTGAGTAGCACCAGGTCTCAGAGATCTCCACAAGCTTTCGGAGGAGAACAGAAACCCCAGTTAGGTCTCTACAAGAGCCAACGAGAGCAGTTTGATATAGGAACACTTATCAGGTCATGGCCAGCTTGGTGCAAAATGGCCTGCAGAGAAAATCTTACTACTGTCTGGACATTTCTATAAATATACGAGTAGGTTAACCATAAACAGCATGATGCCTTCCATCAGTAACTGACCTTAACGTCTTACATCTCTGAGGACTCCACAACATTAACCGGAAAAACTAGAAGACCAAACATTTGGAGGGAGGAGCCACATCAAAAACACATGGGACCAGCCACAAAGACATGTGGGACCCCACTCAGTTATAAGCTCTGTGTTCCAGAGGTGGTATTTAACTCCTAGTTAAGTGAAAATAAACAAACAAACAAATCAACCCCACCACCTCTAAAACATCTCTTGTGATTTTGGTAACACATTTCAAAGAAGGATTTCAAAGTGTAGTATTCATATAACAATCCGGGTATCAAAGTCAATTGCACTTCCATTGATTTCTGATTATTTCTATTTCATCCGTGTTTCGTCCCTATTTTAAATAAGGACAGTGAGATCCACTTGAAATTGCACAGGAAGCTCATGTCAGAGACATGAACAGTACCCAGTTTTCAATGCCAGATTTAAAGCAAGAGCGTAGGAAACCTAAGGCAAGGTGACTCTACAGGTAATTTCAGAATATTCAGACCCTCTTAATGCTTTCGTTAGTATGGGTCTCAGAGTGCCACATGCCATATATAACAGCTGCGACATTGCAGGGAGTTCACGGGCCGTGCACACCACATTTCTCTTCGTGGCCCACAGACACAGAGTGGTATTTCTTCTGGATACTACAACAACATTCAAGGAGGGGCTGGGCACCTGTTTTTTTCACAAGAACCTGCATAATTTTTTTAAAAAAAGAAAGGAAGGAAAATGAGACACTGTCATACAGCTTGAAAAAGACAGACTTCTAGTCTTTTCTCGTATGTATTTGACAAGGATTTCTAGTATGAATTTAATAGAGTTCTTTCCTCCAGGGTCCTTTCTCATTTCATCCATCCTTTTTAATCCTTCCATTTTATACGGCTAATAACAGCGTCTTAATGAAATGCATGGCACAACTGAGATAAACAAGGAGGGAGAGATCTCCAGCTGGAGCTAAGCTGATACAGACCAGCCTCCAGTTTAACCTAGACATAAAAGACAGGAAATCGGAAGCAAGCCTCTGTACGGAAGCCATGGATCACTAATGAATAATCAGAGCTTCTGGCTACACCTCTGAATTCAGCTTCAGCTACCAGTAAAATTATTTGTCTCTAATTAAAAACAATTAGAAGAAAAATGACCATTTATTGGATAATCCTAAATGACAGTGTTAGGATAAGTGATAAAAAAACAGCAGGTAGGGGAGCCTAAATAATACCCTGAAGTTCTCCTGAAGAACATAGGGGACAGCGAGCGCTTTGGCTTCTGAGCCAAGGAGCCTCATCGCTAGGGTTCACGGAGATTAAGAGAACTTTCCTCCAGGGTTGACTCCAGAGGAACCAGACTCACCCAGCACCTAAGGAGCAAGCTCTGATCCCCTGCCAGATGTAAACCTTCAGCCCATTTTTTTCCCATATCAACAAGCAGCAGCTTAGATATTAAAAAAGCCCATCAACACTAAAATCAAAATGTAAACTCCTTTCTTGCCCACACTGTCCCATCTGAGAAAAGCAAAACCTTTGTGGCAGATATAATTTACTGTGCTACTGGAAACTGTTCAAGTGAAAGAATGGTGAATGTAATAGAAGAAATAGAAATGTGTCCTTTAGACCAGAATCACAGAGCAATTTAGGTAGAAAGAGATCTCTGTGAGTCTTTAATCCAAAACAGGACCAACTTTCAGTTTAGATCAGGTGGCTCCAGGCCCTGTTCGGTCAAATTTTCAGTATCTCTATCTCCGGACCCCTGGTCCAGTGTTTGCTTACCTTTGCTTTGAAGAATTTTTTCTTTATATCTAAACAGAATTTCCGTTGTTGCAACTTGCATCCATTACCTCTCACCTTTTCACTGTGCACCTCCACGAAAAGCCTGGTTTTATCTTCTCTGTAACAAGCCACCACATTTTTGAAGACGGCAGTAAGATCTCCGCTTCACCATCTCTTGTTCAGGCTGAACAAACTCAGCCCGCGCACGTCTCTCGGTGCACCGTGTGCTCCAGGCCCCTTCCACTGGACTCACTGCACTTTGCCGGTGCTCTCCTTGCAGTAGGGAGACCCAAATGGGACACACTAACCCAGTCAGACACTGTGTCACACTTGCCACACAGAGGGGAACAACCACTTTCCTCAATCTGCTGGCTAACCCTCTTGCTAAACCAATCCTGTATCGAGATCTGGAGAAGAACAGCACTGCACCCTTCCCATCGTCAGAGATGCAGAAGAGCCAGGGACCCCCTCCTTGAATGAGGAGCCTTTTCCTCGCTGCTTGGAGAACCTTCTTGCTCAGCCACACCGCACCCTTTCCTTTGCAAGTGGTGCTCTCCCCGAGGAGCTGAGCTGGGGTCACGGTATGCCAATACTAGATGTCACGCTACAGTGGGACTCTGAAAATGCTCCTTTTAGCCTGCTCCAAATGAGCTGTTGCGGCAGTACAAACCTCTCTTAGTCACCCGTAAAACAAAGCTTGACTGCCAAGGGAAGTACGCAAAGAATAGTACCACGTTGTCTTAACTCCAGGACTTGACACGGACTGGGCTGTCATTAGCAAAGAGCTTTAAAAAACAGTGGTTAGGGAGACGAAATGAATATTTACAAACACTTCTTGCTTTGATTCTCTTGCCTTAGCCATTTTTGGTGAGCTAGAAGAAGAACAGCTAGATTGTCCTTATCTCTACAGCCACATATTCACAGTGTAAGCCTTTGTGTCATTAACTGTGCAGCATCACTGCGAAATGTAATGGTTTTATGGTAATGCTGTTGCATGATCTATTCTTATATAAAGCCACTAGTAGGGAGGTCATTATCAGCTTATTTGCTCCTATGCTAAACACCATAGCCCATGGTACATATCTGGAGATTAAAATGACACGTCCTTGCTTTTGCTGGAGCTGGGAAGCTCTCAGAGAAAGGAAATTACCCATACACATGGCCAATAGTCATGCTATGATCATTTTTAAAAGCATTAGAGGCTGCAATGTCCAGCAACGCCTAGATTGAGCTAAAACTTATTTGAAGGGCTTCCTTAAGCAATAATCACCACAGTGCCTAAATTCATCCTTTAGCAGTTGGAGAATTGTATTTTCAGGATAAATGAAGAAAGATTAAATGAAACTGATTCTAAGAAGAGTTATATTCAGCACTTTTGAAGGGTGCACCTATGTTAGTAACATGGATAAACACACTCCCCAGGATTCAGGAAGCTTTGATTTCTCTGACATCTTACTAATTCTAAGAGGCTTTTCAGGACTATAACTGAGTGCATAGCAGGACCCTAGGCACAGAAATATCAGCACCCCTAAGTCTTACCATCCTCAATTAGTTCCCTACAAGCCTCTGGGAAATAGTTACGTTCTTGTATCCCCATTTTACAGATTGGTTTCTCATAGGCCCAGCTGAGTAATCCCCGTGTTGGACATTCATCACGCACTGTTGACATGCAAAAGCTGCATCTGTTGTGCCTTTAACTTGCTCGGGTTGGGCAGGATGCTGTCGCTGTTTCTGGCTTGGAGCATACCAGCATACAGTGTGGGTGTACTAATAAACTCTCAGGAGGAGATGCAGTTGCACAGCCTCTAAAATTCATGCCATTCCCTCAGTAACATTTGCACGTTGCCCAGAGCCACAGCCCAAGTTAAAAATTTCTGACTTGCAATTCACTTTGCAGGTGCATGTGACAGATATAACTCACGCAGATTGCACAAGATTCTAAAATATCTTTGTTCTTTGCTCAACAAAGAGTCTACATGTACAAACACACACATCAGGACAGAAATATTGGAATTTGGACACATTTCCTCAGCACTCTGGGATGTTTCTTAAAATGCAAGTCTTCTCTTCTGAACTTTGGAATTTCTTTGCATCTATTTAACTTTCATATCTCACAATTCATTTCACAACCGAACACTATTCTGCTACAAAAGACAATTCTTTCCCTGCTCCTCCCAAACCATTTTATCTCATTAAGTATCTCCAGGTTTTGTATTTCCTGACCAACATCTGATTTCTTTGTTTAGTTTCTGGTGTTTCCCTATCTTACCATAGCTTCTCCTTGAAGCTTAACAGGTTAAACACTTTCTGTTACACCAAGGACTCTAGATTTCAGTCCCTGCAGTGTTTTCGTAAGTGAACTTTGGGTCTTTAACTAAAGATAGGACAGAGAAAGGGGGTTCTTTTAGCTTCCACCAATTTTTATAGCACTACTACTATTCATCTGCATTACAGTTTTTAATCACCAGCTATTACTTAAAGTGCAGGCAAAACTTAACAGCAAGGACAGACATCTACTGAAGCATCTCACAGTAGAGAACTTCATACCGAAAGCTTCACAACATCGACTGGAAATCATAGATTTTGGATAGAGAGATTCCTAGGGCAAAAATCTTTAAAGAAGCCTGAGATGACAGGCAGTTTTCAGAGATGACAAATATCTACAGGTTCCACTGACCATGATGGAAATGAAATGGTTTTCACCACTGGAAATCAGCATCTTGGTTACAGCCCAGGCAGAGTCAATGTGAGATCTGGAAACAGAAGTCACAATTTCCAGGCTGTACTTCCATCCTAGCCTTTATCACTTCCATCATTACACTTTGATAATCTCACTCTGTTGAGCACAGCTTAGTACCGCAGTCCTGCCAATTCTCACATTTGTTCATTTAATCTCATCAGGTGATTTCTTGGAAGTGATTATAGGAACATCTCAGTTCAAAATAAATTCTCAGACTTAATGGTTTCTCAGAAAAGCGCAAGCAAAAAATATCCTGCAGGTTCAGAGTACAAATCAAAGGATCTGATGCACAGGTATAAATATGCACATACTGTAAAAGTCAGGATTTTAAATCCTGTCTCACAATTTGGTGAAGAGTTGAAGGGGTTTGACTCCGGTATTTTTAATGCCTCCAGACAGCAGCATTACTACACAGATACTCAATCTTCATGCTGACAGAAGATGTCGTGTTCTCATTTGCATTCAATTTTGATCTCTCCCAGACTTCTCATATCTTTCTGAATTTCAGGCTTTGGCTGAAAGCATTGGAGAGCAAAAGGGATAAGCCACGCCACTCTCTTCTATTCTGCATTCCCCCAAACACAAATGTGTTCACGTCAAAGCCTGTGTCACAGGCATAGCTCCAGTCTTACACTGTGCGGAATACCTCTTTGTTTTGGGCTTGGATAAAAAGCCAGTGCATTGTACAATTCAGAGCGGTAAAGGCTTTGCCTCCTCTCCTTCTCTGGCTTATTGACTTCACCTCTTTTCCCTTCTCACCTTCTCTTACACACATATACCTTGCAGCTGGCAGCTACTCAAAATATAAAATGAAATATAAACTGAGGCTTAGGAACCAGATGGAGACTTCACAGAAATAACTTCAGAGGAAAGCAAAGGGAAAGACAGCCAGCGCTTCCAAGTCCATTACAGAGATTTCTAAGCAAGCAGCTGCTTAAGCAGGCAGCTTGTACTTTTTGCGGGAACGCCCACGCTGCCTGCTATCTTATGTATGCATTTCCATCACTTCTTCTTCATTGTAATACTGCTGGTTTAAATGCCACAGTCCAGTGCTTGTTCTCCTTCCCAGGCAAGCAGATTCACACAGAAGGATGACAGTTTTGCAAGTGCCACTCTCCAGAAACAAGGCTTTGCTATTTCGAAGTTAAATGGTTAATTGTTTCACACACAACATGTAACTGTATAAAACGTGCTTTGAGAACTGGGTCTTCACAGACTTCACCCATTTAGGGACTGACTGCCCGGAGTGAGGTTTCTTGGTTTCAAGAATATACCTAAAACACTATTGTGTTTTGAACAGGGATCTGATTTGTTACAGCCAAGTATCTGCAAACCTCAGCAGAATAATAATTGAAAAAGAATGCTGAGCTAGTCTAGTGGCTGTACAACACATCTGAGTGCGAAAACCTCAGGACACATCATAGCAAAGAGAAGAAAAACAGCTAATCTATAAGTAAATCCTAGAAGGGGAAAAAAAAAGGTGTATTTTACAGAGTGGGTTTACATGAGTAACTATAAATCATACACAAACCACCAGGAAAGCAGACCGATTCAGTTTCCAGTACCGTGCAAAATCCGGCATAGTATTTATATACTTAAAATGTATGTCCTGCCTCATGGACAGCAGGCAAGATCTTTCACTCTGGCTGTATGCAGCCTCATTCTGCAGTGATCTAGGAATAATCTGTAGAAATATGCATAGGGTCTGTATCATCAGTCACATATGTCACATCCCCTTGGGGCCTGGAAATGGCTGTCAGCGAGCCCTTGGGATTCGCA